AAAAAAAAAAAAAAAAAAAAAAAGAAAAGAAAATGGAATAGGTTATAGATTGTAGCAGGAGATACCTCCAGCAGATGAAGAAACACTTGCCAACCTTCAAAGACACCAAATGTGGCCACAGTGTATTGGAATAGCTGGTGACTTCACTCCTGTGGATCTCTAAAAACATAATAAACTACCCAATGGCAAAAGTAACTTCTCTGGGAAAGATCACCTTTAAGGGTTCCTTCCAGTCCCATCATTCTATTATTAGAATTGAAATACTACCAGCTTCTAGACACATAATTGTCATCCTTCTAAACACACATTACGACACGCAGATGGGCTGAATATTTAAGAAATATTTACAGAAAGTTAAGATATTTTGCTTAAAGCTATATAGCTAAACTCAACTCAGTTTTGGAAGAAGGAATGATAATAAATTAAAAATAATTATTTAACTTCTCTAGCATCTCTGAATGTCAGCTTTCTGTGGGTTTGGGTCATTTTTAAGATTTCTCCTTTAACAAATGACTTCACGAAGCATCATGTTACCTATAAGCTCCAGTAGAATGAAATCTTGCCGCATTTGCAAAGAATCCCGAAACAATGCACCTCAGCACCGGATCTGGATCACCTACACAAGGCAGCAAAGAGAGTGACAGGTGAGACCCTAACCCTGGCCTGCCCCATGCTCTGTGATGCCCCGGATACAGCCCTACCCCACCCCAGGTTGCTGCAAGCCACCTCGAAACCATCTCCAGAACCAGCACTGCCCTGTGTCTCCTAGTGCTAGAGACCTGCCCCGGTGCCCTCTGAAGAGGTCCCCATTTCCCACAATGGCTGCTGAGGAAAATAATGCTGGAATGCTCCTCCCATGTGGGACTCCTCCAACAAATGACTGGACCAAGGCTGGGCACCAAAACCTAAGGGAGCTACTCCACAGGCCAGCCAGTGACCATTGAACTTCTTAAGAGAGCACCTTGTGGGAATGATGTTCTTTCCATAAGGCACAAACTGGAATTCTATACTACAACATTATTTCTGTGGTTAAAGGTACAGTGTGCAATTCTTCACATTTTTCAACAGTTCCATTTTAATTAGTGTTTCTATTGCTACAGCAAACCTCTTCCATGGATAAAGCTTCCCCATTTATTAGATGTCCACAGGACACATTCCAAATTATTATGCAAAAGGATAATGTCATTTTTATGGTTTATGGCATACCATATTTCATCATTTCTAAGACTTGCTTTTTTTTATATATACTTTAACTCACTGAAATCAGAACAGCATTTTTTTCTCTCTCAGTGATACATAAAATTGATGTGTCTTACACATGATGGTATCTTAGATCCAGTGAAATACAGTACGCTGCTAAATAAGTTCCCTAAAAGTGGTACTATTTGCAAAGCCATCAACAATATTTAAAAATGTCAGCTTCACTACACTCTTTCTTTTTTGGTGGCTGGCCACTAAGGGAATCCAAACCCTTGTACTTGGGTCACTACACTTTACCAGCAATGTTTTCACAAAAAGGGTAACCTTCTTTTATTTTCCATTTATTTGAGAACTATCAGTGTATTTCTTCTTTCGTTAAGTTTTCTATTCCAATTCTTTGTCCATTTATCAACTTGGAAACTAGTGATTTTTCTAAATAGTTTAAATAAAATCATTCTATAAGAAAGTTTTTAATCTTTTATCTCATGACTGCTGAAAATATCTTTTACTATTTGCTTTCTTTTTTTAACATCTAAATGTTTTAAATTTGCATGGCATTTATTTAGTCTCCATGATTTTCTCTATTGTCCCTAAGCCCAGAACTGATGATATCTCAAGTCTGCATTTCTAACCATGACCTGATCCAAGACTCAGTCCTTTCTCTCCAATTGCCTATAAGAAATTTCCATGTAAAACATGCATTCTTATCAGGAGCAATATCGATTTTCAGGGGTAAAAATTGGTGCTTGGGGATAAGGGTAAGGGGGATAGCTCAGATATTACAATGGTTTGTAGCCCTGCATTGCTCAACACTACCTTATAAATCTTATTCCTTAACATTTAATTTCTCTAGTTAGGAAGAATATAAATTTAGTGTAACTTTTCTACTGGGCAGGGGGTTGATAATGAAAACCCAATTAAGAAACACAGATGTAGAAATAAGGATGTCATCTATCCATAAGGCTGTCATCTATCTGCTAGGTGACAGGAGCTTGATCACCTTCTCTCCAATTAGCTGCCCCTGAAGCATCCTGTTTTCGTCAATGACACCAACATGACCCAATCACCCAGGTTTCAACTCTTCCCTCTCTTGTGAACTTATTCATTCATCAAATATTCTCTGAGAACCTAACATGCGGCTCACTCCAAGCACTTGTCTCCACAGTCCTCCTTGCCTAACACATCTCTTGCCCAATGTTCTGATTCAACCAGTCCCTAATGCCTGGCCAGACATGCACCACCCCCTCAAGGCTGGGTTCAAGTTCTGACCACACCATATGCTCACTGTGTGATCTTCTGCAAGTTACTTTTGTTTCTCAGCTTCATTTTTCTCATCTATCAAATGCGGATAACAGCAGCACACATTTCACAGGGCGGTTGTGAGCATTAAGCGAACTAACATATAAAACACTCAAAACCTTGCCTTTCACTATTTGCTTTCTCTTTTTTTAACATCTAGATGTCAAAAAGTTAACAAATACTAGTGATGCATACTAGTGGTGCTGAGAATGTGGCTGTGTACCTGGTGCACAGAAGGCATTTAAGACAGTAGCTAAATGAATAAGATGTGTCACGTCCTCAGAAGTGGGGGCTTGTGAGCCGCACAGATCCAACTCTGCTGATTACCAGCTGTGTTATCCTGAACTTAATTTAACTTCTCCCTAGGACTTTGTAACTCATCCATAAGATAAAGATAACATCACCTACACCTCACAGAGTGGAAGATTAAGTGAGCAAACATTTGTAGAACTCCTGCCTTAGTGTAACCTACTGTGTCTTTGATTAATGGTAGTCACTGTCACTGCTAGAGACCAGAGGTGATGGCTTACACAGTACTTCTCCACCTTACCCTTAGTGACTGTCTAGGCTAAACACATGGCACTTGCTTTAATAATACTTGTATTTGAAAATAAAGTGTAATTTTTTATGTAATAGCCATAAGTTTCATCCACATGAAAGTAATTTTTCTTGCAAAGCCTACATGGGAAAATTAATTATATGATGTGCAATGACATGAATGTTAAGTGTTGTCACAGGACCTCCTTGGAAAAAATACGCACCTTCAGCTTTTCATGAACTCAGACTATTCAAAATGTGAAACCCAGGGTGGGTACAGAGCACACTGTGCTGCCTCACACCAGCCCAGCATGAGAACTTTAAGATGCAACTGAACAAAGAAAGGAAAGTCAAGAGCTGTGGCAGTTTATTCTCACCTTCGCTAGACTCCTTGGGTACTTGAAACTTGACAAGAAGCTTTTTCAATTGTTCTCTCACGGTCGCAGCTCTGACAAGACCCTTGTAATTCAGGAAATGTTCCTGGCACCACTGAGAGCTTTTATTGTGCTACAGAACAACCCAGACATAGGGAGAGTTAGAAAAACACAGAAATGTTCTAGACTAAGGCTATGTTGTGATGATATTTATTTTCTCTTCCCGCATTTGCTTATTCAATGGGACAAGATCCCCAGACTGTAACTGGCTCTTTTTTGCCCCATCTCTCAAAACAGATGTTAGCAACCATGCTCACATTTGACTGCTCTGTGACTTCACTCTCTGTGCTAGGGGCAAATGAGAACTTAATGACAAGGAGAGTTGTTTTTAATCTTAAATACCTACACGAGACGTGAATTATCAGAAAGAACCACTTCCCTTCGGTTCTTTTTAAATCAATTTTTCTTCTTTGGCGGGCTTTTGACTGCTCTGTGACTTCACTCTCTGTGCTAGGGGCAAATGAGAACTTAATGACAAGGAGAGTTGTTTTTAATCTTAAATACCTACACGAGACGTGAACTATCAGAAAGAACCACTTCCCTTCGGTTCTTTTTAAATCAATTTTTCTTCTTTGGCGGGCTTCAGTGTATCACTTTATTACACTACAGGCAGGCAGTGTGGCACGTACCAATGTAGAAATAATTTACGAACCATTATTATTTGTCCCCACAGTATGATTTTTCTATCAACAGTGCTTAATATTTTTCTGCATTCTTAAGTGTGATCAGTATATCTTAGATTAAATTTTGCTGTGGGAATGTACTTCTAAAATTATATTCTAAGCCAAGAAGCAAAGTGTTTTAAATAAGAAAATCTAATTCGTAGAGGATTTTCCAAGAAGGCATCTGTAGAAGAATGCAATATAGACCTATACCTACATTCTACTGCGAATAAAGCTTCAGATTGGAGATGGTACACTGTGCTTGAATAAAAGAATTCTAACTGATCTGACCTATCCATAAGTCTCAATAAGAGATAAGACTTTTTTATGGAAACTGTTCATTAACTAATCTTCCTTAAATCTCTGGTAAAACAAAAATTTAGTATTTCTCCTCTTCTAAAAAGGTATTTAAGAAATGAATACTGAAAATCTGAAATATCATACCCTTTCCTTTATAGGGGAGGTTTCTTTTTCATCATCTTCATCAGCTTTAGATATCTCTTTTTAACAACTTCTAATGAGAACTTCAAGTGGTATTATTTGCTCTCAATGTTATAGAATATTAAGAACATTAAAAGTTAATATTACTTATAACTAAACATGGGTAAGATATGCACAGATCCTCGCCTACAGCTTTGAAAATTCAACCCCAGACTACCAGCTGCTCTCAGCCCCATTTATCTGGCAGAAAACACAAGAGAACGTCCTTCTCAAATGCTGCCTCTCTATCCAACAGCATGGTGGATGTGAGACATGGTGAGGCCAAGCTGTCAGCCCACTGCTAGTGAGCCACATCTCTAGGCAAGGAAGAGCAATAAACAATTCCAGGGTTCTTCTCTGCAATACTGAACCACACACTCAGGCAGGAAGCCCAATCCACCAATTAGAAGTACTGGCAATAAATCTAATAAGAAAATAAAGGGGTCTCTTGGCCTTTCCTTTATGAACGGAACTTCCAGGATCCTTGCTCCTAGATCACTTCAAGTAGGTGGGTGCATGGAAGGGGCCCTTTGAGTGGGGGCTGCTCTTACTTTGATAAATGCTTCATATACATTGAGCATAGTGAGGTGATCGCCCTCTTCGACAGCAAATTTTCGGTGCACTCGAATCTGGAAAGAATAAAGCAATTTTTAGAAGCTGCCTCCTGTGAGCCACTTGTAGCAGGGAGGTAACACTGCAGGATGAACAGCACATGGGTTGTGGATTCAGAACCCTGTTTCACACCAGTCTAGCTCTGCCCTATCCTAAAAGACCTCAGACTGGTTACTTAACCTTTCTCAGCCTCCATTTCCTTACCTGTAAAATCGGGAAATCAAACCTCTCTGTTAAGATTGCTCTGGATTAGGATAATTTACTATAAACTACCTGGCACAGGAATTTGATACATGTTAGTGTCTCTCTCTTCCTCGATCCAGTCAGTACCACCCCTTTCAGAAGAACTCCTCCTAGCCCCCAACAGAATATAGGTTCCAGGAGGGCAGGGGCTGACTGTCTGCCACATGGTATACACTCAGCATTCCCAGGCTACCACCAGCATCACAGCCCTTTCCCACTCCACCACTGAGTTCTTCTTTCTGTAAGACCCTGGTCAACGCCATCTGTTCTCATGGGCTAAAGGAGCGGCATATACAATATATACACAAGTATGCAAATATACTTATTAACTTCAGAATTTTATCTTGGGATGAAATACCTCATAATCAATCTTCCTTCCTTCTTTCCATCCATTCACTCACTCATTAACAGATATTTATCAAACACCTACTGTAGACCAGGCACTGTGCTAAGCATCTGAGATACAATAGTAAGTAAAACAGTGGTGGGAGAGAGACAACAAACAAAATATATAGGCAAAATATATAGCATAGCAGGTGGTAAGAAGAGTTTCCACTGAGTGTTTGTGTGGGGGAAAAAAAAGCAGCAGCATCAGGGGAGAAAAATAAAGCAGGGAGTAGAAATGGGATATACTGCGATGTTAAACAGAGTGGCCAGAACTTCAGTTTCCTCACCTTCAAAGTGAGTTTTCTGCAGTAGGATTGTTATGAAGGTTAACGAAACAAACAAACAAACAAACAAACAAACCCGAGAAAATGGACATAACCATCCAGGCACGGAAGCAGGAAAACTTTGTAACCTGTAGTTATACAACTGTCAGAGATGATCCGACAGTCCATAAGGAAGTGTCTCTCTAAACAAACCCGAGAAAATGGACATAACCATCCAGGCACGGAAGCAGGAAAACTCTGTAACCTGTAGTTATACAACTGTCAGAGATGATCCGACAGTCCATAAGGAAGTGTCTCTCTTCCCTACTGCACATCCCAGTTCCGCCCTCCATGAGCAAGGAACTGACTCTCAACTGACCTCTGACCTACCTCTATCACAACCCTCACCTCCGTGATGCTCTTCAATATCCTAACTCCTCCTTCACAGTCTCTCCAGCATTCGCCCTTCGTAATCACTGATGCCTGGGGTTCTGGCATCTCTTTAGCTCAAAATGCCACACCTACAACACCACTGTGATGCAGCAGGGTGCCCAGAATTGGCCTGCTGTGCCCAGGCACCTAACTCCTTATGTTTCAGTCATCACTGATGCCTGGGGTTCTGGCATCTCTTTAGCTCAAAATGCCACACCTACAACACCACCGTGATGCAGCAGGGTGCCCAGAATTGGCCTGCTGTGCCCAGGCACCTAACTCCTTATGTTTCTTATGTGCCCACCAAAGTTTCTACCAGCGGCGTGAATGACAACTTCCGTGACAGGAAGCTGAAAGTCAGTAGTGCAGTGGTTAAGGTCTGGGGCTTTGGACCGCGAAAGCCAACTCCACCAACTCTGGCTGTGTGACCATGAGCTACCTAACCTTTCTGAGCTTCCATCTTTAAAATGTGAAAACAGCAGATACCTGCCAGGTTTACAGTGAAGATAAAATGAACTGAGGCCTGTAATGCTTGATACAACACCAGGTACACGGTACACACTCAAAATGGGAGCTGATATCAGCTGCGCAACTCTGTCTTCAGCACTTGCTGGGTGAGTTTTAACAAGGAAAGCCCAAGTGAGAGACTGGTGCGAACAACTTGGGAGAAAGTTGAACTTACTGCCTGAGATTTCTGGTTTGAGGGGACCACAAAGATATTCTGGATCTGCATCATGGCTGCAATGCTTAGAATTTCCTGAGAACAGCCGAAATTTCCTGTAAAACAAAAAGGATGTCTGATTTCGAACATAGAATGGGTCAACAAGAAGTGAAAGACCTTTTCCCACGTTTGCCTTGCACTACACTGCAAACTAAGATATTTTTATGTGATTTAATTTTTTAAGTCTATAGTATACAACTACTTCACTCTGCTAAATGGAATGTCCTATATGTGGCCCAGATGAATGAATCATAGCCTTGAAAGACTCTGAGAAAGGGGCTTTACTCCACTCTGCAGCTGTAACATGAGGGGACTCTCGCTATATGGCAAGTTGGGGTCCAGACTGTCCCCATCGCTAAGGGCAGGTCAGCTCACATCTGTACCCTACTCTCTAGTGTGGACATCTAGAATCCTGGCAGTGAGCCTGAAAGGAAAAAGAGACAGGAAATGTGTGGGTTGTGTCCCTTCTGCTGTTTCTCTGTCCTAAACCCTTCTGTGAGGTGGCCTCCCTCTCAAAAGGGCTCCTTTCACCTGGGAAGCTCAAGTTACAACTAGACCAGGAAAACACTCTGCGGGCTACTGCTGTAGCACTTGGGAACCGAATTTGCAGCAATCAGTCCTCCAGGACGTTAGAGCAAACGGCACCACCTGTCTAGTCCCCCCCATAGCCTCCTGCCTCATGAAGGAGGTACTGCCCCAACCCCACACTGACAATCCTGTTTCTCAAGGCAAGGCTAAGGGCATTTGGTTTTTTCCCAAAACACAACACATCTTCATAAATTGCCAGTTGACGTAAAGGTTAGACAAAGGCAAGAAACACTTAATATTTCCTTCCCTAGGGGGGAAAAGCAAACTATACTGTCTAGATGATTTTGATTTCTAATTATGAGAAAATTTCCAGGTTATACGCTTTAATCCTAGAAGTCATACTCTCAAAAAAAATCTGAAGGTATCAGAGAAATTAGAACACTTGTACACTGCTGGTAGGAATATAAAATGGTACAGCCACTGTGGAAAACAGTATAGCAATTCCTCAAAAAAAGTAAAGTTAGTACAGCCATTCTGGAAAATAGTGTGGAGGTTCCACAAAAAACAGAAAATAGAACAACCACTTGATCCTGCAATCCCACTTCTGGGCATAAATGAACTGAAATCAGTATGTTAAAGAAATACCTGCATACCAGTGTTCATTTCAGCATTATTCACAATAGCCAAAATATGGAGGCAACCTAAGTATCCAGGACGAATGAGTAAGGAAAATGTGGTATATATACACAACAGAATACTATATAGCCCTTAAAAAAGGAAATTCTGTCACCAGTGACAACATGGATCAAACTGGAGGACATCATGCTAAGTGAAATAAGCCAGACACAGAAAGACAAATATATGAGCTTACTTACATGTGGAATCTAACCTAGTCTATCCCACAGAAACAAAGGTAGAAGGTGGTTACCAGAGGCTGCGGGGGGAGGGATATGGAAAGGGGAGATGTTGATCAAAGGGTACAAAGTTTTATTAGACTAGAGGAATAAGTTCAGTGATCTATTGCACTGCATGGCGACCACAGTTAACAATAACGTATGTTTCAAAATTGCTATCGACCACAAAAAATAAGTTGGTGAGGTGATGAATATGGTAATTAGCTTGACTGAATCTTTCTACAATGTGTGCATAGATCAAAACATCACACTGTACCCCATAAATGTACACAAGTATTCTTTGTCAATTAAAAACAAATATATTTTTTTGAAAAAATTAAATGAAGAATTACCATATGATCTAGTAATTCCACTTTTGGGTATATACCCTAAAGAAGTGAAAGCAGGGACTCAAACAAATATCTGCACTCCCATGTTCATAGCAACATTATCCACAATAGCCAAAAGGTAGAAACAACCTAAATGTCTGTCAACAGATGAATGGAGAAACAAAATGTGATGTAGAGGTCTTCAAAAAGTTCATCCCAGGGGAGCTGAGCTCCTTGCTTGAGGCTGAGAGGAAGAGAGGGATTTTTCCTGGTGTGAAAGGTTTATTTTTTAACAGCATCCAGCTGTCCGGTCTGTTTCGTCATTCATTTGTCGTAAAAGCCCCGCTTGTGAGACAGGGCAGCTGCTCTAGGCTCCCAGTGCCCACCGCAGACCAGCGCATCTGCAGGTGGCGCAGCACCCAGGCCCTGCGAGGTGTCCACCGGATGTGGCCTGGGGGACCTTCCCTGCTGGCCCCCAGGGATGACCACACAGCTGGTGAGGGTTGCACTTTCAGTGTGTGTGTGTGTGTGTGTGTGTTTTAACCACAATCATACCCTTTTCCCCAGGGTACAGAGAATTCAGAAAAACAACTCCTCTGATAATCAAAATAAAATCAATGCAAGCTGTTAGGCTCTACCCACCTGATTCAAGCAGCATTTTGGCAAACATGGGATTCAAAGGGAACTCTGCTATTCTCATGCCAAGGGGTTCAGTTAGACGACAGTCTTTGTCCAGACCTGCCAGAAGAACAACAAAAGATATCAGAAGGCATGCACCACTGTGCTGGAAGATGTACAGTTGCTGAGAAAATAAAAGATGATGTATGTTTAAAAAAGGTATCCAAAAGGTGATTCACGCACTACCAAACTCAATTTGCCACTAGAGTGCTATTAACATTAATAGTAGATCTCCACTGAGCTCTTGAATACCCAGTTTTAAAAAACGATACTTCTGGGCCGGCCTGTGGCTCACTTGGGAGAGTGCGGTGCTGTTAACACCAAGGCCACGGGTTCGGATCCCTATATAGGGATGGCCAGTTAGCTCACTTGGGAGAGCATGGTGCTGACAACACCAAGTCAAGGGTTAAGATCCCCTTACTGGCCATCTTTTTAAAAAAAAAAACAAGCAACGATACTTCTAATGACTTCTATTCAAGGACTTAATTATAAGGAAATGGCCCTGCACATCCTCTTGCTCCCATTCTCTCCTCCATCCACACAGCCTCACTCTGTTCTCACTACTCCACAGACTGCTCTTTCCAATGGCCCAACAACCAGGTAGCACCAAACACAAAGGCTGTCTTCCTTATAGCCTCCAAGCAGCACTTAACACTCTGCTGACCACGGCTTCTTGGAACTACTCTTCCCCAGCTTCTGTGACCCCACTCTCCTGGCTCACCTTCCTTGCTGCTTCCCCCCTCTCAGTTACCTTCTGCATCTTCTTCTGCATCCAGGACCCAATATGTCACAGATGTGCCAGGGTGGCATCCTATGCCCTCTGCTCTTTTCATACCATGTGAGCAATTAGAATTGAAACACTAGCCCAGATCCCTCTGTTGCCAACACCAGACCTGTTTATCCAACTGCCACCTGCGCAGTTTACTGAACTGGGTAGACTCCTTCAACTCCCCACCTTCCCTCCTTGCCTCTCTACCACTCACCAACATCCAGATATTGGATGCCTAAGGCTCCCAAAATGTTGATTATTGCTTTTCCAATTAAAATAAATGTTGCAAAAGCTCAGAGTAAAACAGAAAAGATCATTTCTCTGCTCCAATATAATTATTTCTTTAAAGGTGGTAATTCAGCTTGAAATTAAATTAAGTTGGGTGTTTCCCTCTACCTTTCCCAGCTTATCTAGGGTAGTGAAGAAAGAGGAAATATATTAAATTTCATGCTGTTTGATTGGAGGAAAAACCAGTCCAAATGAAAAATTACACAATGTTCTCTCATCCTTGCTTTCAAGCTCCTAGTACATGCTTGAGAACAGAGAATGGACATGTATTCCAATATGGTCTCACTCCAGGCTGATCTTACACAGACCCAGCCGAAGGCCTTTTAAATCACTGGAGATCTTTTAAATCAGCAATTGGCTAGTCCTTCACAGAGAAGTACCATAAATATAATGAATGAGGATAAGACCCCTACCTCACCCCCTACAAAAAAATTAACTCAAAATGGATCACAGACTTAAATGTAAGAACCAAAACTACAAAACTCTTTGAAGAAAACCTAGGAATAAATCTTAACGGCCATGGGTTAGGCAATGGCTTCTTAGACATGACACCAAAAGCACTACTGACAAAAGAGAAAGGGATAAACTGAGGTACACAAATACTTTAAACTTTTGTACTGAAAAGGAGAAATATTTATGTCACATATCTAATAAAAAATGTGTACCCAAAATATATAAAGAACTCCTCAATAAAAAAGACTCTACCCCACATAAAAATGAGCAAAGGAGTTGAAGAGACATTTCTCCAAAGAAGATATACAAATGGCCAGTAAGCACATGAAAAGATGAGTCATAAGGAAAATGCAAAGCAAAACCATAAGACACCACTTCACATCCACTTGGATGGCTATAGTACAAAAGACAGACAATAGTAAGTGTTAAAAACAATGGGAACAAATTAGAACTCTCACACGTTGCTGGTGGGAACGTCCACCAAAAACTTGTATGCTAACATTCACAGCAGCATTATTTACATGAGTCAAAAAAGTGGAAATAACCCAAATGTCCATCAGCTAGTGAATGGATAAAAATATGTCATATATCCATACCTTTTTATTCAGCAATAAAAAGGAATGAAGTACCAATACATGCTACAATATGGATGAACCTTGGAAACACTGTGCTAAATGAAAGAAGCCAATCACAAAAGACCACATACTGTATAATTCTATTTATATGAAATGCCAGGAATATACAAATATACAAAGATAAAAAGTGTCCATAGAGATAGAAACAGATTAGTGGTGGTTTAGGGCTGGAGGGAGAGGGAATGGGGAGTGAGTGCTAATGGGTGATGAAAATGCTCTAAAATTAGATTGTGGTGGTGGTTGCACAGCCCTGTGAATATACTAAGACCACTGAATTCACTGCTATGTGAATTATACCTCAATAAAACTGTTTTAAAAAAAAAGAGTAAAACTCAAAGTCTCAAAGGACAAAACTTCCACTAAGACTTAATAACAAACCAGATATTCTATTCATTTAGGGCGCCATTCACAGAAGAGACAGTACTTCCTAAAGAGGTGAATTCAGGCTACAATTTTCCCTATCTTAAGGTAAATACTACATTTTCAAACAACAAGCAAATAGAGGTTCTTCTATAACACAGTGTTTCCTCGAAGGAACAATACCCCAGGCTGGTAATGTACCCAATTCTCCACAGAGAACCCCAAGAATGAAATGAAGGGAGTTAGGGAGAGAAACACGGAGCCACAGATTTCAGGATGTGGTAGGTGGACAGAGAGCAAGGTCTAAGGAAATAACATCTGAACAACAGTACTGTAGGGAATCACTGATCTGGGATGTCTCATAGGACTGTGGCCCTGGTGAAGGTTATTAATAGCTTTTGATGAACTGGCATGCTTTATAAATTCATTATCATAAATGGCCTTCATGTACTGTTAGTCTAATTACGGTCCCAACTTTTTATTTCAATAAACAGTAAGTGCCACTAAGAGGATTATATATATGGAGAGAACCAATCTCACTCCTGAAGATACTAAGAGCTCTAACATGAATACAACCTAACTAATATCACATAGGAGAGCACATAACGGAAGAGAAATAGGCATACCTCCTAGAGCATAGAGTAACTCCAAAGCTTGAACCATCGACTGTGCTGGAGGTGGCTGTAAAAAACACAAAAGTCCTCCTAAATTAAATTCTCTGGGCAATAGACATAAAAATGCGACCACAAAATCCATTCTCCCCTCTAGCATACTCCACGCTTCCCAGCTTCCATGCTCTGTACATGCTGGTAGCACCCCATGAAATGTCCTTCATGTGCTTCTCTGCATCCTTAGTACTATGTGGCCTTTAAGGCTCAGCATGAAGCTCTACCTCATCTTCCCCTCTATCAGAAGGGATGGGTCCCTATCTTAAATTACCTCCCCATTTTCCCTAAACTCTCTTCAAACATTTCCCATTTTGACTTCCCAGTCTCAAACCTTCTACTACACTGGGAGCCCCAGCATACTGCAGCACTCGGGGATGATTTATCTTTGTGTCACCTAGAGCCCTGTTCCAGGCCTTGCCTATGATGGGTTAATAACATATGTTGAATTTGAATCTCTGAAAATAATAGAGTATGCTAGATAACCTGAAGCAAAGCTGATATTGTGACCTTCAGTCTGATTATCTGAATCCTTATCTCCTTTCCTTATGCAAATCTTCACTGAATACCTATTAAGTGCCAGGCATCATTATTTTTCTCTCTGTAAATTATTTGGTGTCTAATAAGCCAGGTAATAAAATTACAGTACTTTTTCTAACTACATAGCTTTTTTTCTAAATGCATTTACATAACAAATGTATTTTAAGCATCACATTGTTTTAGTTCAATTTTATAGATGAGGAAAGGGAATACAATAAATAAAAGACATTTGAACAAGTTGGTGGCAAAGCCAGAAGCTAAACTCAGGCCTCATTTTTTCCACTCTACCTCACCCACTTTGTTTGCCAAGGAACAAAGTAGAACTTTTAAAAGTTGTAATGATTGCATGCATGGTTGCACACACTTATGAGGGTGGGACCTAAACCTAACTAATTCACTACACATAGGGTATCAACAAATCACTGTTGAGCAAATCATGTAATTGATCCACTAGCCCTTCCTCAGTGCCCATGAATGACATCTTTCTTTACAAAGAGGGAAAATGCACACCTAACTGGAGGAGCTTAAACCCTCTGGGGATCTTTCTGGGAATCTCTTACACTGAGATTATATGAGAGAACAGGAAATGCACAGCTCTGAATTAGATTTTAAACAATTACATAACAAAACTAACAAGGTCCTCTTTGACTCTTTTCAATCCTTGGCCCTATTTTCAGTCAATTATCATCAACCAAAACCTTGCATTGCCCTCCTCCCCCCACCCCGGGGTTCCCCAAATCACATCCATAGTATTTTCACACAAACACATTCACCAGAATTTTTCCACGACTTCAACTGACTAGGGACCATATACAAACACTGCTTTAACATATTTGGAATTACTATGTATGTATCATTTTAGTTTGTTTTTCTCACTGCAGTTTTTGAGGTAGCTGCATAATATTCCAACACAGTCATACTCCATGAAGAAGTCAATTTTCTTATTACTGGGCAATTGAGTTGTTTCCAGTTTTTCACTATTGTAAATAATACTGCTAAATATAAAAAATTACATGTACTCTGTGATTTCAACCATACAAAACACAACTTCAGGGGAAAATAACCAGGAGGAAATATATAAAGAAGATTTTGCATGTATTTTTTTCATTTTTCAATTATCTAAAAGTTTTGTTATAATTTTCATTATTTATATTTTTTAATTTAATATAAAATAATGCTATAAACATTATCACATATGTAAGCTTTTTCCTTCTTTTGAGTTAATTTTTCTCATGGAAATTTCTTCTGAAAAAATAACAAGCATTTCTATGCCTCATTAAATATTGTCAGAAAGTGCTCCATGAAGACCAAAACAGAGTATAAAACCACCAGCAATACATAAAGAATTTATTTTCCCAAATGTGTCAGCTCTGGATTTCACAATTTTTCTTCCTATATGATCATTTACTAGCGTAAAGTCAAACTTTACAGCTACTTCCATCTGCATTTACGTCTCGCCTGGAGAAGCTGAGCATGTCCTAGTATTAGTTTACAGTGTGTGCTGCTTCCTTCCTTTTAGCTTTTTCTTTAATGAATATTTGGTTTATTCTAAATGATGTATGAAACTATTTTTTTGATATATTGATCTGTCATTTCTGCCATTATATGTTTTCCTTTAATCTTAGATGTAGAGCTTTTCATAAGCTTTTCAATCTGCATATACTTTTCCTCTTCTCTTTATCTCTTATATTGTACATGGGTTGGCCGGTTAGCTCACTTGGGAGAGCGTGGTGCTGGTGACACCAAGGTCAAGGGTTCAGATCCCCACACCGGCCAGCTGCCAAAAAAAAAAAAATATTAAAAGAATAACTGACGAAATCATAAAGGCAACGATACAAAGATTTTACTGTGAATATATTTAGAATGTCTGCACATTAAAAAACAAAAAAAGCAGTAAAATACAGAAAAAATATTTGCAAGAAATATTACAGACAAAGGTTAATACCTTTAATATTTAAAGGACTCTTGAAAATCACTAATAAACATTAATTTTAACAGATAAATGGCTTAACAATTGAGAAGAAATAAAATGTGGCCAATAAATTTTTTTTTTTTAAATGTACCTTATGAGGGGCCGGCCTGTGGCTCACTTGGGAGAGTGTGGTACTGATAACACCACGGCCACGAGTTCGGATCCCTGTACAGGGATGGCCGGTTAGCCCACTTGGGAGAGCGTGGTGCTGACAACACCAAGTCAAGGGTTAAGATCCCCTTACCAGTCATCTTTTAAATTAATTAATTAATTAATTAATTAAATATAAATAAATAAATAAATAAAAATCTACCTTATGAGAAATCAAAACAAAAGTAAATATTCTCTCTCTCTCTCCAATCAAATTAACAAAACTCTAAGAGAATAACATGGCATGATGGGAGACTAATGCATTCATGCACTGCAGGAACTAACATTAGTAAAGTAATTTGGCCGTGTATCAAGAGCCTACAAAATGGCCTTTTTACCCAATAATTTCACTCCTAGAAACCTGCCTTAGGAAATAATCAGAAACACAATCAGCCACAAGGGTCTTGCCGGCAGCTCTTCCAAATCCCTCTTGGCTCGCGGACTGGTGGTCGTCTTGCAAGAGACCATCACTCGCTATCATGGAACTCTCCACCCCTCCTGACCTGATGAGATACTACTTGGGCTTCAGGTTTCACCTCGGACGTGACTGCTGGGCTGGAGGCCCTTCCTTTGTCCCTCAGAGCACAGGCACACTGCTCTGTAATTACCCACTTATCTCTATACTTCAGAAGACATGGACAGGAATTGTGGCTGCCTTATCTGGCTGCTTTTTCCCATACGCTTCACAGGGCCAGGTGCAAAGCAAGCACACAACACATGAGCTGAGAGTGATAAAAAAGAGAAAGCTAGCATGCCCTACAAGATGGTATGAACTCTCTCACACTCATGGTATGAGTACCCCCTATGAGTTCTCTAGCCTCCCCACAGCCCCAGACAGAAGGCAGGACTCACCGACATGAAGTGGAACCTGAGGACATTGTCAATCCCTAGTGCTTTCAGCTGCAGTATGACAGGTGCCAAATTGCTACGCTGCATCTCAGGGACAGTAGACTGAAGCAACTTGTCAAAGGCTTCCTCTGAGGATAGGAAATCAGAATTGTTTGGGATCAAATGTCACAATCAAATGCAATCATTATGCCACAGGGACAGTTTTCCTTCTTTACCTCTAACAAGAGGCTCTAGGATTCTAGGATCAGATGCATATGATATTAGATATAAGGTGGTTTTTATATTTAGGAAAAACCACTCTATTTTTAAAATACTTTAAGCAAATATATTTGAATGGTATACCTTTATAAATGTTTGCCCTTTTACTTTAGAATGCTGTTTTTCAAGTGCTTTTTGTCAGCAAATCATTAAAACAAAGTAATGAGTATTTGCTGGATCCCTGCTGGAGCCCAGTTACCATTATCTCTGCCTGGAGTGGGGCAAGTCAAGGAGGCAAGAACTGCACAGATAAGCAAAAAACAATTTCAAAATAGACCACGAAAATAGCAACCAAATCTTATAAAGAGCAAAAACTGTCCAAATCTAACTTTTTAAATCAATGAGCCAGGCACACAACATCACACCCAGAATACAATGCTGCCACCAATAGATTAATGAATGCTTACATGCCCCATCAGGAACAAAACGTGACCTCAAACGGGGACAAGCACAAGGCACAGGGATCTCAAGAAGGGAGGGGCAGGGAAGTGGGTAGGGAGGGAAAGAGAACTGGGGAGGCCTTTCTATAAAAGCTAGACTAAAAAGGTGGGGGAAAAAGAGGAAGAGATTAAGCACTTTTGTGTATATTCGGAAAGCTTATGATTACATAGAGAATGTTCCACCCACAAAATCCTCCCACATCAGTCAACATTTTAACAGATACACACACTTCTGAAACAATACAAGCATGGCCCAACTTTCACTTAGTTCATAAAGCTTTAGTTAACTAGAGAGAAAACAAACCAAAACAAAAGGTGTCATGAAGAAATAGCACTATCACTGAAGAATTTCAAAAAGGCTTTCTTTGAGAAAATGGACAACCAAAATTCTGTGGACTGACTGATATAAATTGCCAGATGCACAGGTCTAACTAGATGGTTCTGCATTACAGGCAACAGCAAGAAGTTCCAAACGGAATACTCTCTTTAGTTGCAAGAGCATTTTGGGTACAGCTTTCTGGCAGGATAACCACATTTTCCAACCACACTGCTGACCAAGGGAGAAGCAAAGTTATCAGATAGGAAGACCGCACTGCTGAGAAGATGCTCACAGGAAGTAGGTGCTTCCTAAGAGTTTAATGACTCTCCTGAGGACTCCACTGTACAAGGTATCAGGCCGGGAGCTGCAGGAGCCACAGGCAACCCCTTTGAGAAGCTCCAGTGATAGGAAGGGGCCTGAGACCAAGACCGGAAACAGTGGCCTCCAAGGAGGAACAGGCTAGGTCCTAGTGAGTGGTCCTCGCAAAGAGAAATGGAGGCTCAGAGAGAGGATTTGAAGGATCTGTTGGGCAAAGAGGAAACAGCCCAAGGAAAGGTATCAAAGGTATGAGGGTGGATATGGGGAAGCAGAGGGTACATCCAAGAAGAGTATAGTTCTGCTGGGAAGCAATGTGTAGCTATAAGCAGTTACTGGGAGAAGATAAGCTCTCAAAATTCCCAGAAGGTTCTGGGAAGCTATGAAGGGTCTGAACAGGGAGCACCCTGCTTCTTAGCTGCACTCTCTGCAAGCCCAGAGGCTGGACTCTAATGCACTGATAACTGTCAGGTGGCCCCTCCCCAAACCCACTTCCACTAAAACTGCTCATGCAAAAGGAATCAGTGACTTTTCATCCCATTCCACCTGCCTATCTTTAGTCTGCATTCCAGTACATGATTTCTTTGGAGCATAGGATGATGCTGGCCATCTCCTCTTTAAAAGTAACTTACATGACCTTGCAATACCCCAAAGAATTAAAAACAGGTACTCAGGTACACAATCATGCATGTTCATAGCAGCACTATTCACAATAGCCAAAAGGTGGAAACAGCCTAAATATCCTCAACTGGTAAATGAATAAACAAATTGTTGTTTTTCTATACAATGGAATATTATTCAATCATAAAAAGGAATGAAATACATGCTATGATATAGATGAACCTCAAAAACATTATGCTAAGAAGCCAGACACAAAAGGTCATGTATTTTATGATTCCATTTATATGAAACATCCAAAATAGATAAATCCATAGAGACAGACACAGATTGGTGATTGCCAGGAGCTGGAGTTCAGGAAGAATTAAGAGAGACTTCTTAGTGAGTAAGGGCCTCTACTTTGGAGTGATGGAAATGTTTTGAAATGAGGACAGAGGTGGTGGTTGCACAACATTGTGAAGGGAGTAAATGCCACCGAAATGCTCAACTTTAAAATGGTTAATTTTTTTCTAGATTTTTTTTTCAGCTGGCTGGTACAGGGATTGGAACCCTGGACCTTGGTGTTATCAGTACCACAATCTAACCAACTGAGTGAGCTAACTGGCCCACTAAAATGGTTAATTTCACATTATGTACAGTTCACCACAATAAATAATTTTTTAAAAAATAACTTTAAACTTTCTCCTCCTGCATTTCAGGATGCCTGTTAGTCCTGGTTCTTCTTTTTCCATTCCAATCATTCCTTCTCAGTGGCTGCTCTTACCTCTGTGGCCTCTGGTTCTGCCTTTTGCTTCACTGTCGGGAATGCTCTATACCTCTTTCTCCTCTCCAAGTACTTCTCCATTCCACTCCCTCTGCCTGGTGTGCTGAAATCTAATCTCCACCACTGCCCCTTCACCTGGATAACTCCTGGGCTTCCAATAAGACCAGGCTCAAACACCACCTCAGTTGTGAAGCACTCCCTAACTCCCCAACAGAATTAACATTGACCCTGCTCTCTGCTTCCAAGGTTCCCTATGCTTTATAACAACCCTATCATACACATTCTGATCTATGTGTGGGTCTGCCTCCACTATCAGACCGTTAGCTTTGGGGCCACAGACCATGTCTTACCCAGCTCTACATCTCCAAGTCCTGGCACCAAGCTCAGCTTATTGCAGGTGCTCTGTAAACATTTGCTAAAAGAAAGAACAATGTCAAAGACTGAAGGACAATGGTAATCAGAAAGGAAAGGGAGAGATAAATGGCAGAGTTAAAACTCCCAGACATGTCCAGATGGATTCCAAACAGAGAAGGGAATTAACTGTGACTTGGAAATTAAGTCTGGACAACTGGGAAAAATCTCAGTACCATTCTCCACAAAGAGAAATGAAGAAAGAGAAAGAGCAGCTCTGGGTACATCCTTATCTTTAAGGCTATCTTTAAGCTCAAAGGGCTTAAAGGGCTGGGACAATCTTTATCAGAATTTAATTCTGCTCCCTCAGATCCTAGCATGGTACATGGCACAGAGTAGTTTACCAACTATTTGTTTTCTGTGAATGAATCTCAGGATAGATCCTCAATTTTAGCTCAGCAAAGAATAAGAAAACAGCACATTAAGTAAGCTAAGGGAAAGGGAAGAAAGGCAGGACCTGAGACACACAGCCCACGCTACAGGGTCACATGGTACTGACAAGCTTACACCCAGATGTTAGGTTAGAATGGGGACTGCAAACAGGTGGTGACTCACAGTCCAGCCTTGGCCAACGTGGAGTAGCAGCAAAGAAATGCTATGTTCAGAGTGAGGAAGGTAGCAGGGGCCACACTACACAGGGCCTTGTGGGGGAGGTCTGGATTTTATGTTAGGTTCTGCCATGAGGAGTAAATATTTGCTATATTCTCCAATGCCCAGGCTGACCATGAGAAAGTCTAAAACCCTTACGGAAAGCCACACTAACCTGTATAAAGACGGTAACATTTGCCTGAGCGGCTGCGACCACCACGTCCTGCTCGCTGGTTGGCTGATGCCTGGGACACTGGCACCACCACCAAGCATTCAATAGCTGTCCTGGGATTGTAGGCTCGCAGTTTCACAAAGCCACAGTCAATCACATACACAATACCACTGATCGTGATGGAGGTTTCTGCCACATTGGTGGCCACTATCACCTAAGTTCCCACAGAAAGAAGAGTAAGAAAAAAAGTCCTTTCACTTTTAATAAAATATTAAAAATCCTAAAAGATTTAACAGTGTTTCCAACATTGCAGAATTTGTGAAAGGCAGTCTGGTATACTAGAAAAAGCATGAGTTTCAGAGTCAGGGTGCCCTGGATTTGAATTCTCACTAATTGTGTGACCCTGGACAAGTTACTTAACCTCCTGGGCATCATTTCCCTCATCTACATAATAATATTTACCACCTCCCCCTAGAGGTCGCCAAAGAGAATAACATATATACATATATGTCACTTCATATGTCACTTTATATATATAAATATATATTTAATATATAATATATATTTATATATATTATATATACTTTTTAGATATACTTTATATTTATATATAAATATATATCATATATTTATATATATATATATTTTTATATATATATACACAAAGTGACATATTTATATAAAGTGACTTATAGAAACTAGTACATGGCACACAGTAAATATTCAACAATGCTAGTTTTTCCCTTTTACACAACCAAAGTAAATCCCATCTTGTACACATATATTCATTTATTCATTCACATTATAACTCTTTTCTGAGGATAGCTGCTTTGCCAGGCACTGTTCAAGGTGCTGGGGATGTCTGCTGAACAAGACCGACAAGGCCCCCTGCTCTCCCAGACTTTATATTCTAGTGTGAGTGTTTAGAGTGGAGACCTGGTGCACATAAACAAGCAGATAATTTCAGAAAGCAACAAATACTATGAAGATAACACAACCAGGTAATCTAATATGATGTAGTATATAATACATATATTATATCCTATAATATTATAGTAATAAGGCATGCTACTTTAGATTGGATGGCCATGGAAAGCCTCTCTGAAAGATTCTGAGCTGAGACCTGAGTAACAAGAAGGAGCCAAAACTACAGGGATCCTAGGAGAAGAAGCAGTTCAAAGGAAGGAGGAATAGCCAGTGTGGCGAGAGTGGAGAGTAAATACAAGATGAGTTTGGCAAGGGAGGCAGAGACCAGCTCATATGCAGACTCTGGGCCGTCATAAGGTATTTGCATTTTATTCCAAGTACACTGGCAGCTGCCTTGGAGAGTTGTAAGTAGCAGGGGACATGTACTCGTATATATAGCCCTTAGAACTTTTTTCAAGCACTTTATCTTTTATAAAAATCATGTTATAAAAATCTTCCTAACTTTTTTATGTAGTAAAGAGTTAAGATTTTGTGCTATAAAACCATCTACCTAAAAAAGTTATTATTTATGTGTTATATCCTAGAAAACCAAGACTCCAGGTTAAGTAACTCAACCCAGGGCACATAGTAACTCAGGGACAGAATCCAGATCTCCAGATTGGTTGGCTGCAATTCACATCTGACTGGGCAGACTTGAGTTGCTCCATCCCAAGGGCCAAGAGGTTGAGCACCTTCTTCTAAGAGGTCTGAAACTGGGAGTGGATCCTCAGACCATCCCCCACCTACTTTCATCTCTGCCCCCTGTTGATACATAGCTACCATAAGCTGACTTCAGGCTAGGTCTATGCATTACTCATCTAAGGGAAGGGGAAAGCAGAGGAAGTGCCAGGGGACAAGGAGCAATAGGCAGACTGGCTGCCTGCTGACTCCTGCAAACTGATGCTTCCCACCACACCCCTCCCCACCCCAGTTTCAAGGCTAAATGTTTTTAAGCTACACCTTGAATTAACTGATTTAAACTTGGCTCTATAGGAAAACTGATAATTATAACAAATGGTTTAGAAACCATTTGTACTAATTTATCTATTGTTCCTGACTGACCACAATCTGCCAAGATAGGCCCTTAAGCCAAGGTAGTACTATGTCATGGGAAATATTAGGCAGGCAGAAGAGAAGCAAAAAGAAGTCACCTGCTCTGATAATTACCATCAGAGTGATCTTGCTGTGAGGCAGATTTAGAAATCTTCACAACAGATTATTTATTGTGTGCTTTTAGATCTACTGCACAGAACCATGGACCTAAAACTCTAAAAGAACCCTTCATACTCAGAAGTTTCACTTCAATTTAAAAAAAAAAAAAAAAACTTTTCAGTACATAGCAAAGGGGCATCATTATGATTACAGACGGCTGCAAATACCCTTGGTCATCAGGATGGTCTCACCTTTCTGACACTGCGTGACACCCTTTCAAACACTTTCATTTGCTCAAAGGAAGGCAGTCCCGCATACATGGGGAGAACCCGGAGGTGTCTCTTCATTCCAGTGCGAGCTAGTGCTCGTGCCTGCTCGATTAGCATAGACACAACAGTTTCTACTTCTTCCTAAAACAATGAACCAGGAACCAAAGAAACCGAGATCAATTTGAAGCATGTCATTTTATTATACTTAAAGAAAATGAAAGTTAGAATCAGTATTTTCATTTTGGCCAGATTCATGAATTTCAATGCTATCATGTTCCACTCTAAAATGGTATTTAATCAAATGCTACCAAACAATGGTGCCAAACGGGGTGAAAATTTGCAACTGTAATATTAATTACTAAAATCTATACTATCTGCTGTGAACAGAAGAGTTCCCAATAAATACAATAATGACTATTTTACTCAGCTTTTATGTACTAGGGCAAACTGAGCATTTCACACACATGGACAAGTTGTGGCACATAAAATTGCTAGAAACTTTCCCCAGAAAAGATTATTGAACTGAGGTAAATATTTGGCAGTGGAAAAGATTACAGCTGGAGGGTAGTTCTGAACAATGCTACAATCCTGAGTGCGCACTTGAGTTTGAGTAGTTTTTCCAGTAACATGGCCACTTACCACGTCCAGGATGAGCTTTAAAGGTGTCATTGGGAAAGGAGACATGCCACAACAACAGGTAGCAGCAAAACATACTTAATGCAATATTAGATTCTGGCAAAAAAAAAATGGCCTAGACTCAACCACATACTTTATTTTAGAATCAGATAATAAATGTAAAATACATTTAACTCCCTGCAGAGAGAATAGGCAGGAGCTAATGACTCCCTGACAATCTAGTTGGTAGATGAATGACATCAAACCAAACAATTTTTTCAAGCAATTAAGTAACCAACGAATACAACAAAACATGAAATAAATGACTAAGTAAAGTAAAAGAACTCTGTATTAACTTAGTGCTGTCTTAACGTGTCTGTTCATCACAGAGAAGTCCAACGGAATTACCTGGCCGGTAAGAAATGCTAATATGTCTCCATCTTCCTCCGTCTGGTGAATCTTCACCACAGTTTCCACAGTTGATTTGATATAATCTGGAACAGGACTGAAAAGACATGTGGGATAAATTCATCACTAGAATATACTCATTAATTACAGATCAACTACCCTGATAATCTGGAAACAAAGCCTCATAAAAGTTAGTTTGGGCCTGTCCAGCAGGTAATTAGTATATGGATAAATAAATATTCATTCTTATTTCTTTTTTTAAACTCAGCTTTCAAAAATAATCCACAATTGTATGTAAACTATGATTTTTAGAACTTTATTTGCAAAGAAATGAAAACGATATATCTATGCATATAGGTGCATTATCTTTAGCATGCAAAGATGTCGGGCCAGTGAAAATTAGGAGCTGTGGTCCCAGTGTCAAATCCCACACCCTTCCTGGCCCATTTTTCCTCCTGATCATTGGCAACATGTATGGGTTGAGTGGGAAGAACTGATGGATGTGCTTTCTAGCTAGAACAACTCAGAAATCAAGCCCACAACTTTCTGGATTTATCAGCCACTGGACCAGGCTCCTGGTCTTTGCTTGCCAAAGGACTAGGTACAGGAATTAGGACGGCCCCTCTCTTGTCCAAGGGGACTCCTCCCAAAAATGCCAATCAGGCCTTCTTTCTAAGGATGTAGAGAGCAGAGAATTAAATGACTCAAATCACCAATACTGCCCCCACTGATGGGCAACTTTGTAAACCCCAGTTCTGAAAACTGTCAAGCCCCACCTCCCGCAACCTTTTACTATTTTACTCTCTTCAACTGAGCTACTGACCACAGATCCATAAAAACTTGCACATCACTGTCAAGAGTTTAAACTAAATTCAGCAGTGACACTAAGCAGGGTTCTAGAACATTCTATCAACAACAGGAGACACAAAACATGCTCCTCCTCATCACCCTTAGAACTGCAAGCAGATGCAGTTCCCCATTACTCCACATCACGGGCCTAGTTTGCTAATCATCGTCATCAAGAATTCAAGCATCAGCAAACCTTTGTAGATAAAAGATATCCGAGCAGATGCAGTTCCCCATTACTCCACATCACGGGCCTAATTTGCTAATCATCGTCATCAAGAATTCAAGCATCAGCAAACCTTTGTAGATAAAAGATATCCACCGGAAATGTTCGCCCTTCCACTGTTAGGATTACACATGTATCCCTGGTTGGGTCACTGGTTTCATTTTGATTAAAGAAATCCTGAAATTTCTAAGAAAATAAAATAAAAAATTTAAAAATCAATTCTTCATTTCTCTCAAAACAAAAAGGTATCATAGTAATTCATGGAAAGAAAGAAAATAACATAAAACTGGCAGCGAAGATTTGGGTAGCAGGGCTTAGATATATGTAATACAGATTATGGGCTGTAATATAATTTTTAAAATTCACATTTTTCTTATTGAAATCGTAGGGAGCCACATTTCAATGACAGACTCTTTACTAAAGATTTGATAAAAATAATAAAGGTTAGATTTCAAAACTGCATTCAGTAATTCATCTGAACATTACTGATATGTAGCTATGGTATTATCTTATTTTTATTCCCTGTAATTTATTTCAACAAAAATTAGACTAAAATGTATGATTTGAGTTCAATACAGGTTAAATCAGGTTGATGTATAACTCTAATTCGGCAAGCACAGATCTGATTACACAGGTTATCAATCTATAGAGGAAACGTCTATATCTGTGAACAGGAGGTATGTTCTTGGCACTACAGTTACTGATACATATTTACTACAACTTTCTCAATAATGTTAGGCCACTTGATGGCACGGATGGTGTCTTCTCCATCTTTATCTGCACCACAGGTTTAGCACAGAGCTTTGTATGGGGAAGGTCATCAATCACACACTTCTCAGACACTCCCACAGTACCCTGTTGGCGGATGGTGTCTTCTCCATCTTTATCTGCACCACAGGTTTAGCACAGCGCTTTGTATGGGGAAGGTCATCAATCACACACTTCTCAGACACTCCCACAGTACCCTGTTGGCTCTTGGCAGTTTCTCCCAACTAGATGGCCACATCCTATTCAAAGGCATTTGACCACCAGACTTTGCAGCCTGTCGGAGGCCTGGCCTAAGAGCTCTGGCCAACGATGGGGCCGAGCCTGAGAGGAGATGAGTGACTAAACCAGTGGGCGAGTGAGCACTCCATGAGAGGCTGCTGGTGCCAGCTGCTAGGGGACACAGACTCCGTTTGGTGGAGTGTGCTCAAGAAGAGTAAGCACAGACCTCAGGGTGCCTCAAGCCACAAAAGGACTATGAGATGTGACGCGGGATTCCACACGGCACCACTCTTCACCTCCCTTTTGGGTAAATCCCCTCCAAGTCACTTCAGCCCTCCTGCGTCCCCATGATGTGCACGGCATAGGCACACCAGCAGTGCTGCACCAACAAGTGAGAACAGACTCCCCAGTCCAGGGAAGAGGCATGTGCAAAGAACCAATCTTAAAATAAACCCTGAGGCAGACTGACTATATGACTGGAAAAAAGCTGCAAATTACAGTCTGAGAGAAGGAAGGATCAGTAATTACTGGCTTGCAGGGAAGGCTTCATGGAGGCAAAGTATCACTTGCCTGAGCCTTAAAGGATGAGGATCACTACTGGCTGGGAAGGGGAAGAGACATCTCGTACCAGGAAGACAGCACAGTGTGGACTAAGATGCAAGGGACCCATGAATAAGATGTAAAGGGACCCATGACTGAGGTCTAGGGCAGGCCGGCCTCACATCTGAGTTGGCCCTCTTGTCTACCAAGCAGACAAACTGCTATCTAGCAGGTTGTGGTGAGGTTCAAATAACCTGTGTGTGACAGCCCTTGGCACAGTTCTAGCCTAGAATGACAGTTAGTAAGTGATCACAGCTACCATGCTGCAGGGGCCCAAATGCCATGCCACACTTTACTGAATGGGCAAGATGAAGGCAATGAGGAGGGGAATGACACTAGCAGACCTGTGTTCTGGATCCCAGACTCCGGAGGCCATTTGGGAGAAGGGCAATGGAGATAAGAGATTAGAGGCAAGAGGTTTAATTAAGGGAGCTAGTAGAATAGCTCAGGGGAGAGGGAGTGAAAGTGTGAACTTAGGCAAGCATTCCAGAGGTACCACTGCCAGGATCTCAATCAATGAGTGCATGTGCACACACATACATGCTGGGGAAAAAGATGGAATAACTTCTTAATCAGGGATAAAAACTTCCCAAAGCTAGGGAAGTCTTGGGCCTGAATGACTATGATAATGAGAAAGGGACTGAGACAAAAAACCCAAGAGTCACAGGTCTATGAGGTTAGGTGGGCTGGGACTATTCAGCTGCTGGACAGCTAAGACTGGCATGCAGGAACACAGTCAAGCCTGCCACAAGTGTGAAGTGTCACCCGAATCAGGGGCCATGGAGGTGGGCAGCCCTGGAGAGGAAGAGCAGCCAGCAGAGGAGCCCTCTGTAGACAAGAGAAAGCCATCAAGGAGGCAGGAGAGAGGGGAGATGGCTCCAAGGACTGCAGGAGGAGGAGGAAGATTTTAAGAAGGGCTCAGTGGACAGAGCTGAATGTTACAGAAAAGGCAAGCAGAACAGGTAGGGAGATGATGCGTTGACAATTTTGTTAGCGTGGATGGCTAAGCCTTTGCTGATAAGAAATATGTGGTGCTGTAGGGTAAAAATAAGCAGTTACTCTTTCATAAATGCCAGCATTTACTGAGAATGCAGAAGATCTTTATCCTTAAGATCCTTATCTTTTATCTTCATTTGGAATAATAAATACATATAAAAGCAAATAAATATAATATCAACAGTGCATGAATCTTGAGGCAAAATCAAGGAACAAGGAGAGTGAAATGAGTTCCATCCACCCAGAAAAGAACAGCCTGAGTCAGGTTTGAAAAAGGTGGAGTCACGCTGACATAGACATACAGTAAGAAACATGGTTTTATAAAAGAAGAGGACAGTCTATGAAATGGAATTAAATGACAATGGAATTAAAAGACAACCCATCACTGGGTTGTCTTCCAGATCACCACAGCTTCCTTCCCTGATAGCTGCTGCTACCCAACCCACAGGAGTGGGCTCCCAGCAGCCATGTCTACCCACCATGCCCACCCCTGGCCGACACGCAGAATAGTCCACAGTGGGGACCTGACCCCAGCTGACCCCAAGTTCCTTCTCTAATAATCTGGAAAGAGAAATTAGTCTGTCTCCAAGTAGCTGGACCTATAATAAAAAAACTGTGGAAACCACCAGCAACCATACTCTCTGCCATGTAATACAATGGTCAATAAATATTGTGTACTTATACCTGGTCCTGTTATGTAACTGTTCACTCAATTAGATTTCCATTAACAATGCTGCTAAACCAATCAAGACAACTGTTTAGTCAACCCCTGTCATGCTCAGCTTGTTTCTGCCTCCCAGCTGCATCTGCAGTGTCATCTGCAGGCTGGGCCACCCCAGTCCCTGAGTAAAACCAGAGCAGGTGGCATATCAGCAGCCCTATCCCTCTAGGCACTTGATATTTTAGTCTGTGGCCCACAGACCCAGCAGCTGGGGGGGAGGGGGAGTTCTGAGCACCCCTGGGCCTCTAGATCAAAATGCTACCTAAGCCACACCCCGTCCCCACACAGTCTTCTTCACTCTTGCTCTCCTCAGCCCACTCACATCCTCTTTCTCACTCTCTTACTCTCACATATGAACTCATGTACCACACCCCACAGGCACCCACATCCTCACACAGGACTGACCCACACACACAGATCTCATGTCTCCCCTCACAGAGCAGGTGAGGAAGGGACGAAGGAAGGAATGGCCCTCACTCCCCAAGGGCCCAGCTGACTGCTGCTGAAGTCCCAGCATGCCCCACATCACAGCATACCAAGGTATGACAAATCTCCTACATCCTACCTTCCCACTTAATAAATTACTCCCAGAAAACCATATACATCAACTACTGTGGGCAGAACTGAAAGAGGCTGTTTTTTTAAATCTCTGTGCCACACCAAAAGACAACTAAAGGCAATTATGAGCAATTAGTAAGTATTAATTAACAATGAATCTAAGAAAAGACTTGGACATTAAAGTTTTCAACACTACAAAATCTGTTTGAAATAGTTTTTAAAAAAGAGAGAAGGAGGTAAAGAAGATAGGTAAAATAGAGATGTATTGTGCAAGTTTGTCACAGAGGAGGTAACTTGCAGAGGTTCATTCCAGCAGGTGTCATGGGTGAAGGAGATGAGAATTAAAGAGGGCAGCAAAGGAGTTAAACCCAAAAGTTATCATGGGTGGACCTAAGAAAACAGACTCCGACAGCACATGAAAAGGTCTGAGGAACCAGTGTGGGTACATGTGCAGGTATATTCTCTCTGCAAGTTGTTCTGCATCACTGAAACCACAGGGTGACCAGGAGCCAGAGGCCAACAGCCAGGCCCTTTCCACATCTCACCTGATTACAGAACTGGCCTCCTTACTGGCATTCCCACATCTATTCTTGTCTCTTCTACACAACACCCAGAATGATCTTTGTAGAGCCCGAATATGATCAAGTCACTGCCCCACTTGGCTCCCAACCGGTACAGGATAGATTCCACCCTCCTTTGCTTAGCCTGTAAGGCCTTCCATCATCTTGCCCCTGCCTCTCCATTGTAATCTCCCATTGTTTCCCATTCAATCAGAATTCATTCAACCCAAGCCCCTACTCTGTAGGGTCAAGCCAAACACTGTTTTAGGTGGAAGGGATAAAATAATGAATAAGACAGTCAAAGTCCGATCTTCATGAAGCTTACATTTTAGTGATGGGAGACACACAATAAACAAGCACTTGAATATGCCTATAATTTTGGTAGTGATAAGTGTTAATCAGAAAAAAATAATCAGAGTAAGAGGAGAAAGAGCAATAGGGGCACTGTTTTAGACAGGGTATTCAAGAAAGGCCTCTCTGAGGACATAATATCTGATCAAAACCGGAATGAAATAAGGGGAGAGCCATGAGAATGTCTGGGATAAGAACGGTCTAGAAAGACACACCTCCCCCTACTCCAAGCAGAAGGTTTTTTTGAGTAACAGTAAGAGGAACAATGTAGCTGGAAGGCAGAGAGCACTGGACAAAGTAGGAGATGAAGTCAGGGAGGTGGTTGGGGGACAGATCACCCATGTGGGGCCCGGCAGGCAAGGTAAGACTCAAAGTTCCTTGAACACATGGTTTGAGATGAAGTCAGGGAGGTGGTTGGGGGAGAGATCACCCATGTGGGGCCCGGCAGGCAAGGTAAGACTCAAAGTTCCTTGAACACATGGTTTCTGCCCCTGTGATTCTGTACATGCCTACAATGCACTTCCTCACCTTTGCCCATCCGAAAACTGCTGAGCATCGTTCAAGCCCAGCCAGGATATCACCTCCTCTGTGAAAGCTGGGCAACCCCCAGCCAGGTACAGTGTCCTCAGCTCCTTGGACACACTGAACTGTAAATATCTATTTATGTGTCTGCTTTCCCGAGTCAGGGAGTGTATGAATCACATATAACTAGCACAGAGTTTAGCACATATATATATGAGGGGTCTTCAAAAAGTTCATGAAAGGATTCGTATTATCTTTTTCCATTCATATTATCGTATTCCATTTTTCCATGGAATTGAAAAAACTTCTTGAAGTACCCTTGTGTGTGTGTGCGTGTGTGTAGCAGTGGCCAACACTATTTGTTGAGCTGAACCCCTGTTCAAACAAATATTAGGATATTATCGTATTCCATTTTTCCATGGAATTGAAAAAACTTCTTGAAGTACCCTCGTGTGTGTGTGTGTGTGTGTAGCAGTGGCCAACACTATTTGTTGAGCTGAACCCCTGTTCAAACAAATATTAGGCATCAAAACAGAAAAATAATGTAAACTTAGCCATATAAAATTTTAACATGGAAATTATTATTTGTACAAGGGAAACTTGAATTGCACAAAAAAATCTAAATATAAACGCTATAGCCATAAATAAATTCAAGAAATATAGCCTCATACGGAAGAAAGTAATAAAAAGAAGCTGCCAGTGTGGGGAGAAAGACAATACGTACAGAAACAAGACAAGTAGGTAATTATGAACTCACTTAATTACAGACTAATTTCACCCACGAGCTGAAAAGGAGTATCCTCTGATTACACAGAATCTAGGACATCAGATGACCCTGTAATTAAGGTAGGCCATTCTGCCAAAGATAAGTTCTTGCTAGAGGGAACTTCCCAGGGATACGGTGAACGACTCCAGTGTTGATGGCAGGAGGAGGAAAAGGCAGGAGATGCTCTTACCTCCGCATCCAGAGTGGCTGAGGCCACAATCAATCGAAGATCTCCTCGCTTTTTCTGAATCTAAAAAAGAAGGCATTAGGAAACAATAACAACAGAGCAATACTTAAGGGTGATTTACTTTGAAATAATCCAGTGTGTGTGGTTTGTTGTTGTTGTTGTTGGGTGGGAGATGGGGAGAGCTTAAAGATAAGACTAACAAATTAATAATTGTTAAAGCCATAGGTAAAAGAGTGGTCATAACACTATTCTTTCCTATTTTGTAAATGTAGGGAATTTTCCAAAATGAAAAGCTTAAAAAAATTTTATAGACAGTATAAAGGAGCTTTAAGACCCAAATTTGAATTTGCTGAGAATAAAACCATTTCTTCCTGAAACCTGGGTCTTGGGATAATCTGAATCTATGTATACATAGTTAAAGTATGAAAAAGTACATTAAAAGCAAACAAACAATAAATGATAACACCAAGACGAAATATGGACAAAAGATATTAACAGTTATTCAAAAATGAGATGACTGACAGGCATAGAGAAATGATCAAATAAGCTATAGCAAAAATACATAACAATGAGATTTTTTTTTTCATCTATCATATTACCAAGGACTTACTTTTTAAAGCTAATATTCAGTTTTAGCAAATATTCAGTGAAACAGACCCTCTTATTATACTATTTCTGAAAAAGGTAATAAGCTGGTGGGATAATTCCTCATAAGTATCAAAACGTCTAAATCTTTGGCCAAGGTATAAAATAATAATGAAAATAATGACAATAGCAGCTAACACAGACTAAGCTATGTGCTATTCCAGCATCCCTGCGTACAGCTGCACAGTACACACTGCATAAGGAGGCCTGGCTGAGGAGGATGGGGCCATCTGAAATCCAGCCCACTTTCCCCTCACCTAGCTGTGGACATCCTCCCAGAGGATTTTCTAATTTGCACAAAGGTACCTCATAGTCTACTTGCAACCCTATGCCAGGCACCATCCTAGGAGTTTCACATTACGTTATTTAAGCCTCACAACAAATAATGATACAGTTCTGTCCAGAAGTCTCTTCAATGATGAAGATGCCCCCATCTGCACTGTCCAATGCAGAGACCACTAGCCACATGTGGCTATAGAGACCTTGAAAGATAGCCAGTGTGACTGAGAAACTGAAATTTGTTATTTTATTCTATTTTAATTAACTTAAATGGAAATAATCAAAAGTGGCTAGTGGCTAGTGGCTAGCATCTAGGAAAGTGTACCCATGCAGATGCAGAGATTACTGTTATCCCCATTTTAGAAATCAGTGAACTCAGCAATCAGAATTTGAACCCAGGCAGTCTGACCCAGAGCCCATGCCCTTAATCACTATGTTCTATACGTCCTCTCTCTAGATTCCTGTGATTGGGTTTTTGTCCAAAAAAAAAAAAACAAACAAACAGAAAATACAGGAAGGGAAGAGAGTGTGGAGGTAGGGTTGGCCATGAGTTGTAATTGTTGAAGCCAGATGATGAGCACATGGAGGTCATTATACCCTTTACTCTTTGGTTTGTTTAATAAAAAGTTAAAGAAAAGAAACAGAACTGCAATGGATTTTAAATACAGGAGTGTTCACTGCAACAGTACTTAAAATCTGGAAGACATAAGTGTCTAACAGTAGGGGAAAAGTTAAATGTTTTATGGTAGAGCTGTGATTATATAGCCATTAAAAACAATGTCTTCAAAGAATATTTAATGACACAGGGAAATTATCTTGATGTAATTTTAAGGGAAATATGCAAGATACAAATTAGCATGTATGATATAATCCCTATTATGCCAAAACAGATGCACGTACACACACGGACACATACAATAAAGAGAAGAAAACATACCAACATTCTACCAGTGATTTTCTCTGAATAGGTAGGATTATGAATGATTTTAATTCTTTTCCTTTGTATTTTGTTGGATTTCCCAAATTTCTACAATTACTTTCCTAATTAGGCAACAAAACAAAAACACAAAAAAACAAAAATCTGGCAAAGAGGTCATACCTTTTTCAGCAAGCCAATGGCAATGTCGGTGTACAAGGTCCTTTCATGGGCTTCATCCAGCATGATGGCACTGAGAATCAGAGGCAAGCTCTCAGTGAGCATCCAACAAACCACCCCATAATCCCATCTACACCATCAAAGGGACTTCTGAGATTTAGCCCTCGTGTAATCACCTTGTATCAAAAGTAAACCTAAGTCATTCTTCTTTGACAATGAGGTGATTCTTAAGCTAATAAAAACGGTGACATCAATATATCTTGGTGAAAAAAATGGTGTATTTATTGCTGTCTTTAAGAGTTTCATCATGCTCATCAGATTCCAGAGGGTTTAATACCTGATTTTAAATGACAACATAACCTATAACCCCACAAAGCACATAAAAATCATAACAAGGCTCAACCACCTGAAGACGGTTAAGCTATAGAAACAGCCAAGAAGGCAAGTGTCACAGCTGTGACACACGTATACCAGGGAGTCAAATGTGACATCCTCTCTCAAAATGCCATAGGGCCTGGGTGGGACAAATTTAACACTACAAGTGATGGACAAAGGCACACAAGGAAGAAGAAAGTGATAAATAATTATTTGGACTCTATGTATTACATTCAACAAAACACTGCCCAGTTACTTCTCTGTTGTGCTGTGGCTCTTCACTCACCATCAGACCTGAGGTATGACATAGGCAAGATAAAAAGGGCATGTCAACAGATTGTTTAAATAATGACAGGAATTTTAATGTGCCCATTTTTGACTGACTGTAAGGGGCCACACTACCTAAATTCTGAGAAAAACATCAAGGTCACAGCAGCCAAGATCAAGAGAAAAGCTCTAGGGCAGCTGAACACAGACATGAATCCCAAATGTGAATACAACTGCTTCTCAATCTATTTGTGAACTTCAGAAACTTTAGAAAAGTTATCACAGGAAAAACACATTTACCTATATTTTGTTAACAGTGGATCAACCATCATTTCCCTGACCAGCATTCCATCAGTAAGAAACTAAAAAAATTAAAACAAAGTTTTAGAAATAATTCGTTTACATTATACATTAATAATTTTTTTTGTAAAGTTCAAGTACAACTTCTTCACCAGCATGCATACAAATCAATTCCCACAAAAAACTGTGAGGAAATCCCCCAACATTTTCATTATCAAGCAATGAAACTGTTCACAAAAAAGATTTTGCAAATCTTTTACCAAAATTTCACCTGCATGTGTTATATGAACATCAGTTAAGCCCTATTTCCCCTGGGCCTACACCACTGGTACTGCTGATGAACAGGCAATGAAGTCAACCAGTGTCTGCCCAAGGAAATGCCACAAATCTGAGATAACTGTTCTTAAAATGCCCCAAAGACTGGAGACTTGCAGCAATTGAGGTTAGCAACCTCAACTTCAACTGATATTATTTTAGGGAAGCTAGACAGAGTCATGGTTAAGAACATGGGCTATGGTGTCAGACAACTGGGAGTTCAGATCCTGTCTCTACCTCTTGCTAGCTTGTGTGAATCTTGGGCAAGTTACTTACCCTCTCTGAGCCTGACTCATTTGTAAAATGAAGTAATAAAAGTATCTACCTCATAGGGTTACTGTGAGAACTAAGTGAGATAGTATGTGTAATGTGTTTAGTACGGGACCTAGCACACAGATGGTGTTCAAGGAATGCCAGCTACTAATATTTAGGACTAATGAACATTTATAAAATGCTTTATAAATATGCAGTAACAACTGGATGTTCTTATTCTCACCCCCCAAAAAATTCAGTGCATTAAGAAGGCTAAACATCTCCCTCATGTGCTGTATCTCAGTGTTTTTACTTTTTTTGTTTTGTTTTTAAGAGCAAGATACATTTCTATCATATTTTTCTTGGACCTGGTACCAGCTGCCACGTACAAATATAGGAGTGAAAGTGAGAACCTGCCACCAGTGACAAGCTACCAGTCAAGAACTGAGTGCCTTGAAATTATGACTAATGGAATACAAAAGCTTTTCATGAAATTCTCAAAAAGAATCATTTGGTTATGTAATCCACTGAAAATCATCTGAAAATTAGCTAGTTAAAATACAAAATTTGATGGTTCAAAAGAATATTCCCTTTACTTAGGAAAATCAATGTAAAAGGTAACAAAATACAGAATTTGAAAAACAAGGTTCTTATTTATACAAATCACTACATTGTTCATTTAGCTCATCTGATTATTTTTAATTTTACTCTGTTGCAAATTGAGAGGTAGCTGAGATTCTAATAAACAATTTTCATTTCATCAGAGTACTTTCATTCATTGTTTTATTGTACTATCTGATTAGATTCTGATTCCAGCAGAGTGGTACATACATAGTAGTTGAGTTGATTATACACTGATTACTACTAATACTAACTATTTCAATATTAGCAACTAGGTCAAAGAACATACATATAAAATCCATTATCAAGTAAAAATGAGGAATTTCTTTTTTTTTTTTTTTCCTTTTTGTCTTTCTTCGTGACCGGTAACGGGATCGCAACCCTCGGTGTCGCACCCACATCGCGCTCAACCAGTGAGCAGACCGGTCTACTACATGGGATCCGAGCCCTCGGTGGTGGCGCCACCGCGCTCCCAAGCGCTACGCTCTACCGAGTGCGCCACTGGGCCGGCCCAAAAATGAGGAATTTCTTTTTTTTTTTTTTCCTTTTTTTTTTTTTTCTTTTTGTCTTTTTTCGTGACCGGTAACGGGATCGCAACCCTCGGTGTCGCACCCACATCGCGCTCAACCAGTGAGCGGACCGGTCTACTACATGGGATCCGAACCCTCGGTGGGAGCGCCACCGCGCTCCCAAGCGCTACACTCTACCGAGTGCGCCACTGGGCCGGCCCAAAAATGAGGAATTTCTAACTAGTGAAAACAACATTTATGAATTCTACACTTTATCAATTTATACTACCTTGTCCCTCTTTTTAAGGCTTTTACAGACTTGTTTCTGTATTTAGATAGCTGTGTGAGTCAGTGGAAAAACAATAAAACACACATAAGACAGCTTTGAATCTTGGTTTTGTCACCAACGGGCATATAACATCACGCAAGTCATTCAACCTGCCAGGCCCTCAACCTCCTCATCTGTAGAACCAAGGTCTAAACCTTACTTCCAAGTTCCTTTCTAGACTAAGAATCAAGGACTCTTTGAAAGAGCTCTGTACTTCCCAGCAGAATAAAGTTCCTGAGGGCCAGGATGATTTCCTACACTTTCTGCCATACTATCAGTGTCTTGTACAGCAGTGAGGCTGCATGTTTTTAATTTCTCCCAAACAATCTTCTTCCATATTTACACTAGAAAAGCAGCTTGAGCATTTCACCTTAATTCTCGTAGCCAGTGGGTCGGTGCAGTCATCAAAGCGGATGCAGTAGCCCACTTCGTGGCCCAGCACTGCACCCCTTTCCTCAGCTACTCTCCCTGCAACCTTTGGGAAGAAAGATCATGCTGAAAATAGAGACAGAAATTACTGCACATAGCATATACTATGGAAAATCTAAAGGTCATTTACTTTTTAAGCAGCATGTGAATACAGTGGAAAATGAGAAAAAAAAGGTGCAGGTTATTACAGAATAAATGTGATAACTTTAGTGATTTATTAACTTATATATATATCTTGCTTCATTCTATAATGGTCTTGGGGCAACTTATAAGAATATTCTCAATAAAAATGAAGTCACATGAAGATATTACAGATCAAAATCAAAGAAATTACAGATCATATTCAAAAGTTCAAAGCCAATCAGAAAATTTTAAACACATAAATATACCCAAGTTATTTCAGTTGAGCCACAAATTCAACACTAATTTTGGTGACCAAAGCAAAAAAAAAAAGGAAAAGAAATGACAAGATTCAACCTGTTCCCTAAAGAAAAAGCACACCAACCAGGGACAACTTTTCATATCTCTCAGCCTTGAAATAAAGTGCTTTCCCACCAGACCATGAAGGCAAGATAAAATTCAGAACTGGACCAAGTTCATTTTCTCTTTAAAGGCAAAAGGATTATGTTTTCAGAGCCAGGTACCTAAAACAATTCATAACAGTGCTCCACCCACCAAAACCACTTTAAGGGGAAATGAAAAACAAGAACACAGGTTAAATAGTTAGCTCAGTTGGTTAGAGTGCAACCTTATAATCCCAAGGTCACGGGTTCAGATCCCCATGACAGCCAGCTGCAAAAAAAAAAAAAAGGCAGATGAGTGGATGAGAAGACTAATAAAGGATCCAAGTTAACATAATAATGTAAAAGTCGAAGACAAAATAAGTAATATATTATGAAGACCATAAACCATAGAATTTCACCCGCCAATATATGACAAATAAAAGGTTTGTGTAGGAAAGAGGAAAAAGAATCCTAAGGCAAGATCCCTGCACTCCCCCAAGAAGGCTATTCAAATGTTATTAACTTAATATCAGAAAATATCTGAAATAATGAATAACCATAAAAGCAGAGGAGCAATAATACTAATCACTTAGTTTAATCTAAAAGAAAATAGTTTAACATTTACTACATAAATTACCTAACTGGAAAGAACCAAAGGGAAGCAATATTAACACCAATTTCCTGGGGATCTGGCATAGCAACCCCCAAGGGAGGCAGGCTTTTAGTCACTATTTCACAGGTGAGACAATCCCCCATCCCCAGTAGGTCCCCAGTCCTGAGTTTGGGACATGGCTGGCACAGCAGGTGTCCTGAGACAGGGCTTACTGATCCAGCCATTCAGCCCCAGCAGCTCCAGGCTCTTAAGTACAGGGGTTCTGTCTGTCCATCAGTATTTAAGAAACTGAAGAGCAGATGATGATTATCTGTCTGTCCATCAGCATTTAAGAAACTGAAGAGTAGATGAGGATCAGAAGAGGCTCTGCCTAGTGACTTGAAATTACAGATCTAGGAGGCCAAAACAGAATCAATCATCAAGCAGCTGGCCTATACCATGTAGCCTTTCAAAACATCTTACAAAACCAGAAATTCATCCTACACTGCTCTACCTCTGAAGGTTGTCTTTCAATCAGCATTTTGCCAGGACAGTTTTGTTATTGTTTCAGTTTCAACCTTACATGTCATTATATTATAAATCTCGGAAAATGGTACAAATAGAAAATGGGGCCAGCCCCGTGGTGCACTTGGGAGAGTGCAGCGCTTGGGAGCGCAGTAGCGCTCCTGCCGCGGGTTCGGATCCTGTATAGGGATGGCCGGTGCGCTCACTGGCTGAGCGCGGTGCGGGCGACACCAAGCCAAGGGTTGCGATCCCCTTACCGGTTGCAAAAAGGACGAAAAAAAAAAAGAAAATGTATGCATAGAGATACTGGGAGCTTCTGGGGAAAACAGGCATATAAAAATGAGCATAAATGTAAGAATCCTCTCCATAAAAATATAGTTATTTTATGGGTCTATAAGGTAAAAGACAAACTTGTTTATTCTTATTATTTTACTACTTTTATACATTTATTATAAAAAGTATTTATTTTTATTTTTAAAAAATTTTATCATTTATAAATACACAGGTCATATTCTAGTGGCTTTTTTTTTTTTTTTTTTTTAAAGATGACCGGTAAGGGGATCTTAACCCTTGACTTGGTGTTGTCAGCACCACGCTCAGCCAGTGAGCTAACCGGCCATCCCTATATGGGATCCGAACCCGTGGCCTTGGTGTTATCAGCACCACACTCTCCCAAGTGAGCCACGGGCCGGCCCCTCTAGTGGCTTTTTAATATATTTTTACCCCTACTGTTGAAGTTCTGCTCCCAATAACCTCATCAGCTAAACTAAACAAATATTATCTTTTTGACAGACCAAATATATATAGGGAATGAGAGGTAAAAAGAAAAAGAAAAACCAATCACTGTGCACCTACTACATGGCAAGTGCTGTGCTCTAAGTTCCACACAAGTTGTGTCTTATTAAATATGCACACGGCCCATGAGGGAGGGAAGACATCCTCCTCTTTACAAATAAAGAGACCGAAATAAGACAGTCATTAGAGCTTGAGGTAACCTGGTCTTAAAGTTAAATCCAGACCACATGAGTCCAACGAGCACACTCATTACTACTAACTACCTCTCCCAGAGATCAAGCAATGGCTTATATAATCTGTTCTTAAGCTCTGAGATTGTTTTCAGTTTTTAGTCTGCACACAAAGTACTTTCTGAGATGTAGCATTTCAAATTTGACAGCTCTATTAATACTACATGGTTAATTTATACACTCTCTGTTCTTTCAAGAGAAAGCTTGCGGGGCCGGCCCATGGCTCTCTTGGGATAGTGTGGTGCTGATAACACCAAGGCCACAGGTTCAGATCCCCATATAGTGATGGCTGGTTAGCTCACTTGGGAGAGCAAGGTGCTGACAACACCAAGTCAAGGGTTAAGATCCCCTTACCAGTCATCTTTAAAAAAAAAAAGAGAGAAAGCTTTCAGTTTCATGGAAGTTATCCATAGCTACAAATTTAGGGCTAAAATGCAAACTGATTAAAAGCTGGAATTCCAAACCACAAACAAGGAAAATTGCTCTAATGTTTAGGTAACTGAGTCATCTTTCAGGGTCATGGGGTTACAGTGCAGTGGAGATTCCAAACTGTTACCCCCATTTTTACATCACGCAGGACTTATAAAATGTTCATCAAATAATTTCTAACTTGGAGACTATGAGGAAATGGACTATGGAAAGAAGAATTACACAATAATTGAAACTCAGTACTGAGCAAAAATAACACTGGAAAATAAAATTAATTTCTTGTCCAAGTAAAGATGGCAAAATAAAGGCATTTTTACTCCCACTTCCCTCTCTCAAAGCTAATTAAAAAGCCAACAAAAGAATTAAAACATATTATCAACAAAAAAATCCATCTTCAACGAAAGAAATAGCCACAAGCCCAAACGATAAACCAGGAGACACAGCTGCCAAATACTATAAGGTCTGAATCAAGAAGGAGGCCCAGGCCTCCACACAACCAGAGCAGATTGCTGGCTTCCTTAGTGTACCTGTCACCATCCTAAAAGGCAGAGCCAACAATCCTTGTATGACAAAGACAAGAAATGGCAGTGAATTCAGGCCCAGGAGACTAAGAAATGTCACAATGCCAAAAGACAGTGGAGCAAAGTCTGCACAGCTCCCAGGGAAAGAGAGTATGAAATGAGAATTTTACATCAACAAAGATCACAATCAAACATTCTCAAGCAAGTATGAAAGAGAGTATGAAATGAGAATTTTACATCAACAAAGATCACAATCAAACATTCTCAAGCATGTAAAAAAAAATTAATGAATAATAAAATTCAACCAACCAAGAAATAAAGCAAAATGAGCAATTCAGTGTTGGCAAAACCATGGAGAATAATTAGTGATGAACATTCAATCCATTTAAACTAGAATTAAGGTTAAACACCTATGTGAATTATGATTAAGAACACATATATTATAAATCTTGAAATGAAAAAGTACTGTATCTATAACAAAAAGAGGCAGAAAAGGTAGAAAGATGAATTTCCTCTCCTTTCACAACAGGAAACTATAACATATAGTTTGAAAAATAAGTAATATCCTAAAGTTTTCTGTCATCTTTTTTCTTACTTTTCAAGCTTTAATAAATTCTCTTGTGGTGAACAAATATTTACCCAAAGATTAGTAACTACTCCTGTTTCATTTCAATTTCCTGTTGTTAAAAATTCAACAAAAAGCAAATATATGGTTATGATCCCATTTTTATAAAATTATTTCTATCCAGTCAGCCAACCATTCACCTTTATCTTTAAGAGAAGCTTGAAATGATGTTCATAAATGCTCACAATGTTTTTGAAGGATGGTGAGATTTGGGGTTTTTTTAAATTATTTGTTTTGTTTTAACTTCCTCAGCTCATTATTATTTGAAATGTTCATAATTTGTAGGTATCAATTTTACAAAAATATTTAAATCATAGTTCTTTTTAAACTGAAGAACTTAATTCCTTTTAATATTTTTGACATAATAATTGTACATATTTATAGCATACAGTGTGGTATTTCGATACATGTAAACAATGTGTAATGATCAAATCAGGTTAATTGGCATTTATCATTTCTTTGTGTTGGGAACATTCAAAATCCTCTCTTCTAGCTATTTGAAAACATACAATTAATTATTGTTAACTACAGTCAACCTACAGTACTATAAATCACTACAACTTATTCCTCCTATCTGGCTATAATTTTGTATCTGTTAACCAACCTCTCCCTAAAACCCCTCGCCTCAACCCCTTCTAGTAACCACTATTCTATTCTCTACTTCTATGAGATCAACTTTTTTAGCTTCCAAATGCAAGTGAGAACATGCGGTATTTATCTTTCTATGCCTGCCTTATTTCTCTTAACATAATGTCCTCCAGGCTTACCCGTGTTGCTATGAATGACAGGATTTAATCCTTTTTTATGGCTGAAAAGTATTTGTGTATATATACCACATTTTCTTTATCCATTCATCTGTCGATGGAAACCTAGGTTGATTCCACATCTTGGCTATTGTTAATAGTGCCGCAATAAACATGGGGGTGCAGATATCGCTTCAACATACCGATTTTCTTTCCTTTGAATATACACCCAGAAGTAGGTTGCTAGATCATATGGTAGTCCTATTTTTAGTTTTTTGAGGAACCTCCATACTGTTTTCCATAATGGATGTACTGATTTACACTCCTACCATCAGTGTATAACAGTTCTCCATTCTCCACATCTTCACCAGCATTTACATTTTTTGTCTTTTTGATACCAGCCAATCTAACTGGGGTTAAAGGTTATCTCATTGTGGTTTTGATTTGCATTTCCCTAATAATTAGTGATGTTGAGTATTTTTTCATATACTTGTTGGCCATTTATATGTCTCCTTTTGAGAAATATCTATTCAGATCATTTGCCCATTTTTTATTTGGGTTTTTTTGCTATTGAGTTCCTTGTCTATTCTGTATATTAATCCCTTCTGAAGAACTAAATTCTTAAGGAACAACTTCTATTCATTTAGAGCTTTTAGGAAATGAGAAAAAAATAAGTCACAGAAATAGAAATTGCAGACAGAATCTTTGCAATATAAAAAAGAAACTCACTGTAACAGCAGCCACTCTTCGAGGCTGGGTCACTCCTACCACTCTTCCTTCAGCTGTCCAGCCAGCTTCTGCAAGATACTATAAGTGAAATCACATTTCAGTACACATCGGACATCGCTGTTCCAGAAACAATTTCCCCCATGATGACCCTACATTGTGTTTAAATCACAGAGAAAGGATTTTTTGTCCCAACAGAACTTTGGAAATTATTTTACAAATAGGGGATCTAAAGCTTGGAAATGTTAGATAATTTGCTTAAGTTCACATAAAAGCTGATAAACAAAAGGACCACAGTATAAAATCAGCATTCTGACTCCTCAGTCCTGCAAAATTCCATGTACTACAGACGGCTTGAGAACAAAAAATTATCCATAGGTCACTCAAAACAGCCCTAAATCTGCAGAACAAAGAATTCTAAAGTACACACAGAGACAGTGCAATATAAACAGCAACTATATAACACATTTTAGCCAAATTAAATAAATAATTAAATTCTGTATATACAAATATATGCTATTAGATTAACATATATAAAATTTGATTAAATTTGATTAAATGTATTTATCAGATTTATGTATATATTTGATACATGTATGTATTTGATTATATGCATTCAAAATCCAATATGGATAACTGTGGTTATCAGAGTTACGTACTTTTATAATGTCTAATTGTTTTACAATGAATATATATTACTTCTGTAATAGAAAAAAATTTTTAAATGCTATTGCACATATCTGCTCATTTCTTCAAAAGATATACAGCAAGGATAAACCAGAAACTAAAGATAATGGCTGCCTACAGAGAATGAGTGGGAAAGCGGGAGAAAGAGGAAACCAAAACAGGGTAACAGGAAGGAAGAGGCAGCAGCAATGCTTTGAATACATTTTTTTGTGTAGCTCTGACTCCTAGAATCATAATTATGTCTCACATACTGTACCCAAAAAATAAATAAAACCAATCAGGATGTGGAGGGAAACCAAAAGGAAATACAGACACTAACAACTGACCCTCTTTGTATCACAAATGAGTAACACACCACACTGAAGGAGATGGAGAAGAAAAGAACTAACTTAGGTAGCTATGGAAAACAGTATCTTGACTGGATGCTGAATGACCCTCTTTGTATCACAAATGAGTAACACACCACACTGAAGGGGATGGAGAAGAAAAGAACTAACTTAGGTAGCTATGGAAAACAGTATCTTGACTGGATGCTGAAAAGCTAAAGATAAAAAGAACTGTAAATAAATGCTGTAATCTAGTTAGCACACGTTAGTAAATAACCAACAGAGGTATGGGTTAGCAATTCTGAAACTACTTTATGTATATACTAGAATTTACCAAATACATAAATGTATTATAAATAATAAGGACTAAGTTTCTCACTGTTGGAGAAAAGTTACAAATAAGGAAAGGCTAAGACAAGTTCTATGGTGTGGGATTGGAATCAGAAGTATGTATCAGCATAAACTCACGGTGTTTTACATATATATGTATATATACAGATAGATAGATAGATACAAATAGATAGATGCTTGTATTTATATGTGTTAATATTCATACACATATTTCCCAGGTCTGCCCACTGAGACTCATAGCAATAACACCTCAGTAGCAATAAAGCACTCTAACATCCAAATCTTGATTTCTAAACACCATTCACAAATAAAAGAAACCAGCACTTATGCAGGGAAAAAAATGAGACAAGCCTAAACCACGTACTAGAAAATAAGGAAGTGGTCAAAAAAGATGGAGGCCGGCCAGTTAGCCCAGCTGATTGGAGCACAGTGCTGTAACACAAAAGTCAAGTGTTTAGATCCCATTACTGGACAGCTGCCAAAAATAAAAAAGGGTGGAGGCTTTTAGAAAGAAAACAGGAGTCAAGCAGAAGGAGCTCCTAATAGTCAAAGCTGGAATAATTTGAGCAACAAAATAATGATAGTACCGGATTCTAACCCATAGAAAAAAATTAAAATTCATGAATCTATATTGATACAAATAAAAATCTAATAAATAAATAAATGTGGGAGAAAGTACAGTTTTTCCTTATAGAAGTGGAGTATTTGCAGTCTGAAAATATCTCCCCCAAGATATTTATCAACTACAATGGGATACAGGTGAAACCTGTCATCTTATCAAGTGATCAAGGTTAATTAACATCACCAGTGACAAAACATATCCACATCTTAAACCCCTGGATATGAGACACTAAGGACACAACATAGTCTCTGTAATATTCTTGCCAAAAACATATAAGCTCCCTCTCTCTAACTACCAGAAAACATCACACAAACCCAAACTGAGGGACATTCTACAAAATAAATGCCCAGTATTCTTCAAAAGTGTCCAGGTCATAAAAGATGAGGAAAGACTGAGGAACTTTCGGCAGACTAGAGAGGACTAGGGAGGAATAACAAATAAATACAATATAGGATCCCGAAACTGAAAAAGAATATTAATGGGAAAACTAATGAGATTTAAATAAGATCTGTAGTCGTTACCAGTATTGCATCAATGTTAGTGTCTTGCTTTTGATTACTGTACTAGAAGAAATGGTATGTGGAATGTAAGGAAATTCTGCATTATTTTTTGCAACTTTTCTGTTAGTCTAAAATTAGTTAAAAATAAAATTTTAAAAATGACTGCAAGGACCAAAATGTTATAATGTAGGTTTTTTGCTATAAAAACTATAAAATTTCTCTCTCTTGCATTAAATACATACACAAAATACTACCAGACACTCCAATCAACACAAACATAAAACCAGAACTATGAGAATAACAGCTAAAATCCAATGAGTACCTCACTAAGTGCCAGGAACTGTGCTGAGTGCCTTACATGCATTATCCAATTTAATCCTCGCAACAAATCCTATAAGGAAGGTAATATCATCATCAACAGTATGTAGTTAAGACGACAGAGATCATATAACTTGTCCGAGGAAACAGATAAAATTCTAAGAGCTGGGATTCAGGTTCAGCAAACCAAAGCCCTGGCATACAACCAGGACACAATTCTACCATCGAAATTAAAACAAACACACAGGTAGCCAATCCCTTAGTAGTAATGTTAAGTGAAAGAAAAAATAATTTCCATAAAAAGCAACAGTCTGTCCATGAGGTGAGTCACCTCAACTCACCGTGTGATTCAGAGTTCTACCGCACGCTTGTGACTGCTGGGAGGGGAAATGTAAAGACACTGCAAAAGCAGGTTTAGTGCTGATGTCAAGAGGCAGTGGAGGGCTGGCCTGTCAGTTCAATTAGTTAGAGTGCAGCCTTATAACCCCAAGGTCATGCGTTCAGATCCCTGTACCGGCCAGTCACCAAAAAAAAAGAGAGAAGAGGAGGCAGTGGGGTGTCATGGAGGGAGATCATTGAACTACAGGCTGAATTCCATCTTGTTTCTCCACCCTTTTTAAAGACCACCAAATCTGGTATTCTAGTTAAAGGATGGAATTAGGAAGAACTCTACCAATAACAGTACTAATAAAAAACGGAGTTAAGAGCTTGTTTTCATAGCCCATTGTTTCAACAGAGCTCTAGTAAAAAATATCATCTTAATTCCACATATAGGTTGTGGAATTTCAAAACTAGCAAGCATTTGGTGTTTCAGTGTGTTGTATTTTTCCACAGAAGGATATTATATAAATCTGGCAAAACAGTTTATTGAGAAAAACCTGCTCTGTATCCTTGCTGTAACCTTCAGTTCCACAGTCTTTCCAATTTTCTTAGGCCATAACTCAAATGTAGTTTCACAATAAGTTAGACACAATGACTATCTCAGAGAAGAGGAACTGAATGGTTAGGAGAAAAGGGAATAATCCTCCACAGGAGGGGTAGCAGATATTTGGACCAATGATACAATCCATCACCATGATCTAGCCATTTTCAACAATAAAGGTTAGGAGATTTGCTTTTCACCATTTATTCCTTTGTTCTTTGTGAATTTTTGTACCATGTAAATGTATTTCCTATTCAAAAAAGTGCTCTTAATAATATACAATTCCTTAGAAATAATTAAATTCAAATGTACATGTGCTTTGAGCCAGCAAGTCCATAACTACTATATTTATTCTATAAACACACATATAGTATGCAAAATTATATATGTGCAAATTGGCTCACTGCATCACTGTGATAATACAAAACTGGAAACAACCTAAATGTCCATCAAGTAGGGATTGGTAAAATAAACTATATACACATACTAGACTCTATGGAACTGAAAAAAGAATAATACATTGAAAAAAGGAAGGAAAAAAATGATACATTAAGTAAAAAAAGACAACATGTTTTAATGTTGCATTAAAACATGTATAGATGCTACCATTCGTGTTTTAAAAAGGGGGGCATACATATATGAATAGATACATAATATATTTATATCCATACACAGTTGGCCCTTGAACAACGTGGGGGATAAGGGGATCGACCACCTATGCTGTTGAAAATTCATGTATAACTTCTGACTCCCCAAAAACTCAACTAATGGCCTACTGTTGACCAGAAGCCTTTTCCAATAACATAACAGTTGATTAACACGTTTTATAAGTTATATGTATCATATACTGTATTCTCATCATAATGAAAGCTAGAGAAAAGAAAATGTTGCTAAAAAAATCATAAAGAGAGGGCCGACCGGTGGCTCACTTGGGAGAGTGCGGTGCTGATAACACCAAGGCTACAGCTTCAGATCTCTATATAGGGATGGCCAGTTAGCTCACTTGGGAGAGCATCGTGCTGACAACACCAAGTTAAGGGTTAAGATCCCCTTACTGGTCAACTTTAAAAAAAAAAAAAAAGGAAAGGAAATCATAAAGAGAAAACCACAAGAGATCGCTTTTTACCTCAATACGCAATTTACTAGAGAGAGGAACTGCTCATGTGGAGGTGATTAGCCTGACACGTGTTTTAAGCAGACACCCGCATCACTTGAGCCACAACAGGAGGTAGCAACAGGAGGTGGCTACAAGATTATTACTGTATTGCAGTTAATGTGTTGTAGTATGTACTGCAGTTAATTTTGTGCAGTTATGATTTAATATTGCACCTTTATTTTTGTTTACATTTCTCTTG